TCCCAAGTAGATCTCAGGGTCAGGGAGAGTGTAAAAAGAGTAAAGGGAACCCAGTAATTATCTCTTATATTGGAAATTATGTAGTTAACTAGTAGTATACAGACAAGTAGAATCTATGGAATTATTATGAGCTTATGCCAACTCAAGAATAGCTTATTGTGTTTTCAATTTTATATTGCTTAAAAAATGAGAAATCAGTAGTTAAATAAATCCTATCTTAGCTGTTCAAAACCTTTCTAAATGCAGGGTTCAGAGAGGAAGACAGGTTTCCACAGTGAGCTGTGACATCTGGGTAGAGAATGTCATCTCCCCGTCCACCGTTCACTGCCACATAAATCCTTCATCTCCAGTGGGCTAAGGGTTGCTGAATATTTGTATATTTTATGTATGACCTTGTTTGTCTCCATATAGAACTTAATCTTAGAATATCCAGTCTGTTCCAAGTAATTTTAACTCACACCTCAGTGAAGTATGGGTGAAACTGAGTGCACACACAGGCCCAAGGTTTAAAGACCCTGGCAGTGAGGTGGCTTTGCTTGCTTGCAGATATCTATGTCTGCATGATCTCCTCCGCACACAATGTGGCCGCACAGGGCAAGTACATTGCCATCGCCAGCACAACCGTGGAGACCAAGGAGCCCGAGAAAGAAATCAGACCAGCTCTGGAACTCTTGGAACCAATTGAGCAGAAGTAAGTGATGTGTTCATTTATAGCAGCTCAAACCCAGGATTGCCTTTGGCTCCATGGTGAACAGAACCCCATGAGAACAATGAGAGCAGCCATCATCTCTTACCAGCCTGGGTTTTGAATTTCAGGCAAAGCGGTGAGTGGGCGTGTCAACTTCCCTGCTTACTTAATTCTTTTTCCCCTCCAAATTCGTAAGCATCAGTGACCTCCTTGTACCAAAAGATTTGGGAACAGAAAGCCAGGTGAGTGGCAATCTGAAAAGGGTAATTACCAGGCTTTATTGGGAGACATCACTAAATAGTCTGAAGTCTTTGTGACTTTCATTTCCAGATCTTTATATCCGTACGTATGATGCGACAACTCACTTTGAGACAACCTGTGATGACATTAAGGACATCTATAAGAGGATGATGGGATCCGAGTTTGTCTTTGAGGAAATGAAGCGCAAGAAAAATGACATCTATGGGGAAGACTAACAGCAGTACATGTTATCATCTAATTAGGACAAACTTAAAATTTGGCAAATGATGCATATTGTATGAAA